AAACTGCTTTCTTGGGTGGATGTTTTTTCATTATAAGAGATCACTTCAATGGAGACATATCATCCCCTCTGACTGGGTTGATTGATTTTGGTTTTTGACGGGAAGGCTTACTGAACAAAAGTAACCAAACAGAAATCACGGAAGTGCTGGTTTACACTTACCATGCATCTGCGAGAAAAAACGCTAGTGAATCGCAGAGCTCCCAATCCATTTTGCATTGTCATCCTTGAATTTACCTGAAATTATAACCGATTATCGTTTGGCACCTCATACAACCAATACTGTTGTTGTATTACTGGATAGTTACAAATGTAGCACCACTATGCTTTGAGATACCACGTCAAATCGTATCTTCGATGGTAGCAAAAAATTTGGAGGATAAACTGTTTCATTTGCCAGCCAAATGGGACTAAAGGGACTAGGTTTTCGTATAGGTCACAAAAATGACGAAAGGGTGCCCAAGGTTGCATTTTTCTTGTTATTTCTATTATGTACATGTTCACGAAACTGCTGTCTAAAATGATAGGACGGAAACACATAAGGATCTGTGACCAGCAACAAAACAGCCCTTGTGGAATACCTAGCTAGTCCTACTCTTGAGGTCAGTGCGCTTGCGTCAAGTAACCGCTGAACCCTATACAACATTTCCGCTTCCTCCCCCCATAAAACAGCGTAGTTTGACCTGGGAAATGGTGACCGAACTATAAATACGATTAGAAAGGTTGATAGGAAGATATTTCATACTAGGAGCGGGTAGTATGTGTTATCCGTAAGAAATCTTACGTCTAGTTCTGGGGCCAATTCTGTGGACGAAAAGTTTTCCATTACCTGAAACCATTATCTCTTCGAAGCTTCTGCCGGTTACCAAGTTGTTGATTAAAAGAGCTGGTCCATCGTTGTGATCCACGTGTTATTCATCTTTTGGCCCTGTGTACGGTTCCAAGCTTCTTTTAGGCCAGGTTTTCTTAACAGTCGGTGGCCTCAGCATGACATTTTGTGCCAACGAAGAAAAACTGACATTCCAGCTAATTGCGTCACTGATTCTTTGTTGTCTTATGGTGGCGCGCGGAACCGTGAGAATCGTGCGGGATTTTGACATGGCCACATATTCACACTGCGTCAGATGTGAGAGCGACGCCACATGCATAGATGACCCACAATATTGGTATTCCTTGAATCCAAGGGTGCGTTTGATTCTGTCGATCGGTCAGTATTGTTAACTTCACTTGCTCCGGTATGCCCCGGAAGATCTTGACTTCTGGGCATGTGAGAGTGTATGGTAAGCTACCCAAAAGCTGTGCCACAAAATTGATGTCCGACATGGATGCCCATTTTGTTCTTTCTTGTTCAGCATCACTGATTAAATAATGAGGTAAATGCTGGAAGGTCTTCAAAGCCTCGGTGTTCACATTATTGCTGGTGAGAACTCTGTCGATCGGGAGTGCGCGCATATTACCTCGCTCTCATCTCTGAAGACCAAGGTAAAGCACAAGTCCCGTTGACTAAGATGACCAGCATCATACCATCTTTTGGCATGTGCTTAGTACCTTCAGTGTGCAAAGTCATGCTCCATATAGTGAAGTGTCTGAGCAAATTTCTTACAATTTGAAGAGAATCAGTGATGGTTGAGGAGAATTTTACGTACCTTGGAAATTGTTGTACCTCTGACGGAAATGTGTTTCAATCAGTGCAAGAATCGCAGAGGCTCGAATAACCTTTGCTGATTTGCGTCACTTGTGGCGTCAAAAGCCCTTAACAGTGGGTTTTCAGGGCTACGTACACCAGGTTACACTAAAGGCTGTATTTGTTTATGGTTGCGAAGCAGCCTTTGTGAACCGGTGATGTAATGCGCCTTCAGGTTTTTGACTACTGTTTCCTCAGAAGCGTCTTTGGCTTTGAATGACGCCAACAAATTAGTACCGAGGTGATTAGTCAACAGGTAATTGTTTCCAATGACACTTAATTCGTCCTCACACAAACGCCCTAAAATCAGGTATATTTATTCCTTGGTCACTTACTGAAATGTTTTTCCAAACGTTTAGTAGTCTCTTAAATGTTGCGTTCACATCACTTTCATTCAAATATATGTTCAGCTTTTTGTTACTTCGTACTGCTTATAAACGCCCGTCATATGGAATTGCAAGAAACTAAAGTGGATTAAGTTGGACATACGTCGTATAAACATACCAGGGCACCCAAAGCAGTGGAAAAACAGCAAGGCGGTGATTAGTCTACACTTTGCACCTATAAAGTTTAAGGTCATGCTTGTGGACATGCAGTCACTGAGCACGCCAATTACAATTTACGGAGAGGCACTGCAGAATTGTGAAGCTTTTTACCTACATTGGAAGTTGTATTAGTTCTGATCGTAGTGTGACGGATAAGATCAATTTACGAATCTACAAGACCCGGGTCGCGTCTGCTAATTTGAGATACCTATGGCGTCAAAGTGGTGAATCTCAAGGGAATTGTGTATCAAGCTACAGTGCGAGATGTTTCACTGTATGGTTGTGAGACTTGGTTTGTTCGAACAGCGGAACTGAGGCGTCTTCAGGTGTTCGACAATCGCTGTCTCAGTACAGTAGCTCGTGAGGGCTGGTGTCGGTGTATCCGTAACGAAGCACTTAGAAACCGAGTTTTCGGTTGTGCAACGGGTACTTCCATTGAAGAATGTGTCCAGCACCAGAAGCTGCGTTGGTTCGGACATGTGTTGCGTATGCCTAACCATCATTTGCCGAGGAGAGTGTTGTTTATCATGCCCATTTTAGGTTGGCGGAAGCATAGAGGTGACCAATCCTTGACTTGGGGTGAGGGGTGTGAAGGAGATTACGAAATGCTTGGGTGCTGTCGGTTATAATCGCCTTCCAGGATGGAGACCACGTGATCCCCACTGTGTCTGGTTGGAGACACTGCAAGATGTGGCTGCTAACCGATGTCAGTGGCGTTCCTGTTGTTGATTTTTATCTAGATTGCCTGAATGAGTGTTTGGAGATTTATGTACTTCTGAATGACTGTAGTAAGCTAGCACTAGGTACCTTCTCCATCCACCTTCACTCTTTTCTTCACAATAAGGCCCTCAAATAAATCATGGTTGTATGGCAGCGAAGCACCGGTATTGAACACTAATGTCATGCTGTCGATGATGAAGGTAATGGTGCTAATGTACAACCATACCGATTGAAAATCTGCAGTTGTCTAGCCATTGAACACGGATTTAGTACACTGGATGACGTCCGGTTATTGGTCGAGATTTTGTCTAGAGGCCCCTTGAATGTTCTCACGCAATTACGTGTTGTGATAATCAAGACCTTGATTGAACTACATCGTAAAGTCGTTTGGTGTAAGACTGGCAAAAATAGAGTAACGATGTAGTTTCAGCACAATTTGTTACAACGATGGCGCATTTCTGAGCCGTTTGCTGCACTCACTTGTACGGTACGAGCCGATAAATACACTTCAATTATTATGGCGATTTGAATTAGGAGGGTGCATTCTCCATAAGCAAGTACGACAGCTCAAGAACTTGTCAGAAATATATAAAGTGGAAGAGCCGTGAGATACGCGTACGCATTTAAGAGACGATTCAGTGCAAGAAACGATGTCGACCGTAAGTGATAAGTTAGCTGTTCTAGTGTTGTAGTTCAATTTCTCTTGAGACTCATTCATCCTGATTAGTGGTAACGTTGCATGCTCTTCAGTTTATCCGAAACGCTAAAAAAATTTTGCAGTCCGCGTCTTCGCTTCAGTGCAATAATTAATTGATCGCAAGACCGCAGCAACTTAGAGAAAGACTGTCGGGACAATGGGACAGGTTGCTTAATTCAGACTATCCGCCAGGTAAATTTGAGAGGACCGTTGCTTGTAAGTAGGGTGATCAAGCATCTGTATTCAAATGATATCATGGAATCCGCATGATAACTGGTCTTCCTGAAAGTCCTCCATTTAGGACTGTAGGAATTCATCTAAGCCCATGAAGGAACGTAACTAAGGCTCGCGGAAATGAAGAAAAAAGACGTTTAGACACAACACCAGTTGGAAAATTGTAAACGGTAGGAATCAGAGCTAAGTAAACGTGACTGCAGGTAGCAGCAAATCTACAAGAACAGAAGTGATACAACACCTCAGACTAGACGGTATTCTTTGAGGTTCTTGGTACGGAACATTGAGTAACGCATAGATATGGAGATTCCGAATATCAAAATGGAGATGTGGCTTCGAATGTCAACGGACGTCCCTTCCGATGCCAGTCACGTGATTCTGATTGGCGGTGCGATCACGCAGAAATCATGACAGAACAAGCCAGGCAGGCTCAGAAAACGAGGCACGAACACGATTTGGGTAACATGCGCACATTCACACATTTACGAATATGTTAATGTTCCAGTGTCAGACGGGACGGTCTTTGCGGCAAGGTGAGTGTAGGGTACAGGTGGAGGTCAAAAGTGCGTGGGCAGAATATGGAAACGAATAAAGGATCACCTTGAGGTTAAGTTCGATGTGTATTCTTTTTCATAGTCCTCAGAGGATGAAAGAAACGTCAATCACCAAGTCATCACTTAGCAGAATCCTAATTGCACTACAACGCACATGTTTGAAATGCATTTGAAACATGTTTCGTTTGTCTGTAGAGGAAAATGTCGGTTGCTCAGGTAGCATAGATAGTCGTTGGCTTGTTCGCTGAGCTAGGCGATTTGATTCCAAACGTTTTATCACCAATCGAGATGATATCATTAGTGGGTTATTGGGTAGCTTAGTGGTGCGTCGCGGTGGGTTAGTGGTTGTACCAACGTTCCCAACGTTTGCAATCAAATTGCCTAACTCAGCGAACAAGCCAACGACCGACACTTTCGCTTGATTGGGTGGAATGGAATACAAACATCCTCACCAGATGACCCCAGTGGTTTATTCGCCAGTTTTATCGGGGATAGTAGGCTCCTTTGAAAGTATCGACTGAAGAACTGTCGAATTTCAACCCCTCTCTCGTTCTTCTCTTGACAGAACATAAAAAACTGGAATACTCTAGTGCTCCCGCAATCGAGGCCACTCAGCTACAACCACTCTCCATTAAGCACACGGAGCATTCTTTGAAAACGAAGCCTTATGTTTCCCATTCGATCAATGAAATGTTGAATGGCAAGTCGCAGGCAGACAGGAGGATCCAGTCAGTCGGTAGGTTTATAAATAGTTGGCACGGGAATTCTTGTTGGTGTTTTAAGTAAGTCAGAATTCTAAAGAAGAGAAAAACAGATTGAATAATCCGTAATATACACTGTTTTCTTGGAGCGCCTCTACAATAATCACATGGTTAATCGAAAGTCGTCGAAAGTCCAATACCAGTTTTCTCCTTCTCAAACTTCGTCAAACAAGCGTGGTATCCGAGACTTACGTCCTACTTCAAAGTCCAATTGTTCACAAGTTGTGAAATACACACCTGAAAATCAAGTCGGCGATAGAATATCCATAATGGTTTGCGGTCTTGTGACATAAATGTCCTCCCCTCCATATTTTCGAGCTAGAGAGACGTTTTACAGGTAATGAAATGAATGCTTTCACATTAACCTACGTGTTCCTGGGGGAAAGTGAATTGATACGCCTGCCCCTAGAATGGCGCCATCGGAGTCTAGTGGAGTCCTCTTGTATCTTAACCGTTTACTGGTAAATGATTTCTCCGTGATGCAACTAAGTCGCACTGTGTGAACGTTTGTGCTGGCTAGGAACAAATGATTTCCAGTAAGTAATTGAAGAAGTGTGGTGAGCATCAATCCCGAGTCGGCAGCCAAGATGAGCTTCATCAGAATTTGGTCGGCCAACCTGAGCATTCATATCACCTGCCAGGATCACAATACTTGTACACGTTGCTGACCGTGTTAAACGTGACAAATCCCGATAAAAACTGTTTTTCACGCCCTGGGAGCCGCCGTCTGTCGAAGTGTATAACTACAGCAGATAAAACGCTATTTGCCAGGTCGAGATGTATTGGTGCTGAATGAACCAGTCAACCTAACAGCACACAGACGACTATTTACTTGAATCCAGTGAATTAGGGTACATTCAGTCCTGGGGCTAAGCACGACTCTCACTCCGTGGATCCTACAAGACACTATGTACCATCTCCGGACACCTGAAGAGTAAATTACGGGAAATATGGACTCTTCTCTAGTGATCTGAGATGTATGATGGAACTGGAGTGTGTTTCAGAGATAGCATACGTCGGCAGAATGAGCGAGCAAGGTCTGAGTAAAAGCTATATATTGCCCAATTGGACACAGACTACGCAGTTTGAAAGCTCCAATGTGGAGCAAATCCCTTTAACTTAGTAAAGGTTCATATTGGTTTATTTTACCGAGCAAGAACATAGATACGGAGCAGTGGACGTGCAAACCGCCCTCAGATTAACTGATGTCATATTTCACCATAGAGAGCTAGTACAGCAAGTTAGCGAGTTGCCGATCGATATGTTCTCATCAGCAGGATGATACTGGTCGTGCAAGAGCCGGATTGCACGGTACTCGGTAAATTAAATGACCATTACAGCGCCTAACTTAACACTGTCAAGGGTCGCCCCTAGGGCTAAACTGGAAATCGCAGGACATACATAGGAAGCAGGTCCGCGTAACTCACAAGCCACATAGCTGACTGTAAAATTTGATTCTGTAAAAGTTCAGCAACAGACAACTACCAGAATTTAGACAGGCAAGTTGCAAAGTAATGGTTGAGTTACAATTCGCCCAGGAATGCACGAATGAAGGCACTGGTTGCTCAGATGTAGAGTTTCTGAGGCTTGTTTACCCCATGCAATGTGGGAGCAAGTTCTGTAGCAGGGGCGTGGTTCTTGGGTAAATGCAGAGCAGGGCTGAAAGACGGACGCAACAAACAGTCTGCCTACTAGGGAAACGTGCTGTTCATCTTAGGTATGAGCAGACCGGATTTCCAGGAGTTTACTGCCCGAAAATACTTTCCCATGAATAGGTCACAGCCCCAAATGTTAGTACCTTTGACCCACATTTTGTTGCGTATGTATCGGGACGGAGACTCAATATTACGAATAAAAGCCGACTTTCTAACCATTAGGTTCCAATTCCTGGATTACATTTATTCTGGTCTGCGCCTCACAAACACAGATCTACTGGTACTTGAACATCCTTGACGTCTGGAGATGAAAAGAGGTATTTCAACTACAGCATGAAAATAAATATTTTATGAACCAACAACAGCATCTTCACTAAAATCCCAGTAGTCCTTCGGTTCTCACCACAGTGTCAGACAACTAAAACACTGATCCAATTGAACTAGTAGAAGAAAAGCAGAGGGCTACCAACAGAGATTACCACCACGTAGGATTAAATTGGAAATTTTTTCAGTAGTCCCTGAAGGGTTGACCAACCACGAATATCCAGGTAAAACGTCATAATCGGGGATTTTTCGTTCACAAGGCATTAGGAACAAACGAGTTTCGAAAGACTGTCAGACTTGGAACAAACCTAATTGGCTATGAAAGCTGGTCACAACATACCGGATTCAAATGAGAGGAAATGTCTTGTTTGCTAATCTCATGATTTCGTCATCTGCTCAACGGTTGATGAGAGGAATTCGACGGCACATTTTGGCCACCCGAAAACATAACTTGTCACAAACCCGGACATTTTAAGTAATTGCTCACTCCTGGGGTCATGGTAGATGATGTAACCATATTTTCTGAAGATCGTTTTCACTATTGTTAGATAATACGAATTGCTTACATTCAGTAATGTTGATTGGTTAGGCTTAGATCACCGAGTGTGTGGGCGTGTAACTGGTTGACCGTAAGCTGGTCTGTGCCCTTAAATGCTTGAAAGCTAAATGGTGTGGCTGTGTTCAGCAGTGCGCCATCAAGTATCTGAAGCAACGCATTCAAAGTTGTTCCTATTATTTCTATTTCTCGATAATAATGAAGTCTGCATCACAGATGAAAAACCTGTGCTAAAAAGTGCGCAACACGAGCTACGGATTAACTGGCAAAAAAAGGAATTTGGTCGATAACTTATGTCTTGGGGACGTAACTGTTCTAGAAAGTGTTACTAGTAGTGGAGAATCCTTGGGGGGGGGGGTTGCCCGTGGGGAGCGACAATCAGTTAGCCCTTATAGGATTGATTCTTCTTGGACATGGGTTATTCTCACCGGTCCAAGTTTTCTTAGACCTTTGGATGATGCTTGAGCTGATGCCGTTTACACAGAGAAATGATCACAATACCATTTCTATGCACACCATTTTTTACGTGTTCGGTCTTCAGAGCGCATTAGATAGTGAATTCAGGTAATAAGGATCATTCATGCCAATTGTGTGCTTCATTACAGAATGTATGCCATTGTGTGATACAATCCACATCCCAAAGCGATCAGTGGATCACTGGTCTTCGGAAGCTACGCCGTCAGTTGGGACAAGAGCATTGAAAGCTGTTCATGAGGAGAAAACATCATACTCCGGAAGATGTGAGCACAACCCGGGAACCAAATCCGACGGAGAAAAGCAGTTTCAATGCAGAACGTGGAGTGCTCCACTTTCGACCTTGTGCCAGTCGAATAACAGACAACTGGAAATGTTAAGCAGAGAGGCGTACACCAACGCCTGCACAAGCGAAGCTGAAGATCAGCCACTGGATCTCTCGTTGAAACGTTCTTTCACTCAACTAGACAGAGGGTATCTGTCGTTAACCAATTTTATTATTGCCTAGCCAGACTCTACTACTTTACTTTCGGTACGAGTAGCAGCAGTTGACGAGTTACCAATAGACGAATAGCCAGAATAGCCAAAACACCGCTTGCGAAGATAGATTTCTGGCGTAAATGCCATGTGAACAATTCTACTTTATCACCCTACTGAACACCGTGTGCTGCAAACAGGTTTGCTTACAACGCTTTACAACTGGCCGACTGTAAACATGACTGATAGGGGGTCCACCTGGTCTAAGGTCATTTTACGTCTGAAAGGAAATGAAGTCACCAACAAAAGAACTAAAATGACAATAGCAGAACATGTTATCCATTCCATCAAATACCTGTTATCCAAAGTTTGTTACAGTGGCAGTTTGCATACCACAGACTTGCGCGAAGCAACACTATTGGGCTCCACAGAGCTCCAGTAGATTTATATACAGATAACTGGCAAACGATCCGTATGGAGACAACTGGAATGCATTCGAGCATTATGTGTGATTTGAGAACGAAGTAGGAGGCCTGAATCGTTTCCAAAAAGTTTGGTAAACAACAGGTGGATTTGGTGTTTGCCAAACCTCTCTAAAACGACGACTACCCAATCGGTCCCTAATACTTTCCAATTATGAAGGCTGCAGCTGTGCTTGTGAATGAATTTGTTTCCATTGCCAGGCAATCTTGAGTGGATGGATGGTGCTCACTCTTACTCAGGGGAGGGGCTTTTGGATCGTAAGACCGAGAATTTTTTGTCAGAGGATGAGGAGATCCGTCATAATCGAATGAAAAGGCACGGGGTGTTTAATCGTTTACGTTAGTCGAACGGTAGTACAGGAGTCTACCGGATCTGTTGCACACTTTTCTGAGTCAACAGTCTAACTGTAGCCCAGTAAGAGCAGTACCAAAAACATTAGTCAACGTATTTCAAACTAAAAAACCCTCATGAAATTCAAGAATACCGAAGGATTTGATTCTGGAATTTCGAAAAGAAAGAACGGTCTTTCATAAGTCCAGGACTTTCAGTTTTCCGTAGCATTCCAATGCACGAAATTATAATTTGTCCAGTAACGATTACGAAAAACTTGGAACAGTTACTCGACTACTCGCGACAATTCAAAATTGACTTACAGAATAAACCAGACGAATCAACTGTACAACCACCATTTACCATTATCTGTTGAGTTTTAAGTATTTTATTGGTTCTTCACACTTGTGATGCGGGATGTACTAGCACATGACTAGCAGAATCAATCCACAAACTTGTTCTCAACGGAATCTGGTAGCTTCTCACCATTGTGATTCTTCATTTGAAAATAAAATGACGAGACCATATAAGTTGGTAACTGTAGGATAATTGCACCTAAATTCTATTGTTAGTAGATGTTAGCTGAAATTGAATGATAGGATGCTCCGATCTCTTGGCATGTGTATATTTCGCAAATTTCCCCTCAGATCTCTGGCTCAAATCATCAACTATCCGGTGATCAGGAATGGCATTTGCCCCACAGACCCGTTTGCTTTGGAGCAAACGAAGGCGACCGTCAGTCGGGATAGGCCTTATTCCACTCCATTTGACTTCATCTTCCGACAAAAATATCACCAAACACTCCACACACTACTTACCGCATCCGAAGCAGCAACAAACTATCCTACTCTTCCTGATTTACCAGTCAGAACGAGTATCAGTGATTCATCTAGGTCGTTTGTGCAGTTTTTCAGAGAACAGTGGCTGAAGAAAAATGTGGCATCGTTGGTGCATCAGAAAATGGGACGACGACCCGGTATGTATCGGGATAGACCACCTCCAGACTCAGAACCGACAACCAGCAAAATCAACTCAACTGCCGACGCTGCAACTATCACGAGCGCCACTCGGTTCACTAAGATTAAATGCAAGTATGGTATGTCAATCACGAGAGACCATCCACCAGGTAAACCACTCAGAAGACCATATACAGAGGCAGAGCTATCGGCGGCGGTTCGTGCGATTTGCTTCGGTCGACTGGGGACGCGTCGCGCAGCTAGTGTCTACGGTATTCCACGATCCACACTGCGAAACAAAATTTGCAAATTGAACGAACTCAAAAGGCGTGAAGAGGAACGTCAGGGGGGACAAACTATTCTAATGCCTGATTTCCTGCAAGGCCTTCTGCAACAAATGAGAGAGAAATCCGCTGCCGGGAGAACGGCTACTTCTTCAATGGTAGCACGCGGAGCTTTTACAATAGACGAGCGGCAGGATTCTGTGGATTACCCATTCAGCACTGATGACTTTGTTCAACTGAATAGGCGTGGGCCAGAAGTACAGAAGCCTACTCTACGAATTTCCGTAACTCCTAATCGTGCTGCCTCTATATTTCAGGTAAGCGATTTACGGCGATAATCCCCAATAGGCTAATGCATTTTTACAGGCTTCTAATCAAATTTCCGAGAAGCACTACTGACTGATTTGGTTGTTCATTCCGCATGCGATTTATGTAGAAAAAAACATAATTTAAAAACATTTGTTGCCAACTGATCCGATTTGGTCACCGTCACGTCCTACTTAAGTATGTATGCGGGGTTCAGGATCTATATCACGAGGCACATGCCCTTGAATTTTTCTACTCAACTGTTTGCTCACATGACAGCGGTACGGATGTAATAAGAAGACGAGGCTTGGATGCCGGCTGTTGCTCTCAACAGATGAAAAAGTTTACAGACTCACAATGGCGTATAATTTAGTTTATTCTCTCTAAATGTAGAGAACGAGAGGTGATTTCCCTGAGATATCTCTTCAACTGGAAAAAATACCTCAGAAACATTTGCACTTTTAGTTGCAGCGCAGACCTATACCGAAGTTACTAAAAAAACAGGATTTTGATTGCAGAACCGTATCCGATATCGCAGGTCGCTTTGGGATGATCTATTACTACGAGCGTAAGGTGATCATCAGTATGGTGTGACGAGGGGACTGACTGCCAGATAAGACATTTATTGCAACTGGTCAAACAGGAGAACGATAACCCAATTTGATTATGACCGGAGTTTTCACCCGCGTAGAAACCAATAATGGCTATTTCGTTGTGTCGTTTTCGAAGTCCCCAGATGCTGATTTTATCCAGAACATTGAACTGCAATGTGTTGAAACTACTCCTGACGTTCTAATCCACTGAGCAAGAGTAAGGGAGTTTACTGAGCCGAGCCGACAGCGCGAATCCTTAACCAGCCTCTGTTAGGTAATTTCGATGGTGTTACTTCCGTCGGTACACTAGAAAGAGAGTTCCGTCCATGGAATGACCAGACGTCAATAATGGAGTGTTGCGTCCTCAGGCGTATTTGAATGGGTGGCCGGCACATACAAGGTCGGGTCCAAACTGATATCGAGTTTGGAAATCCACAAGGTCCGAAAAATATAAGTTATCTGAGAAAATATCTGTCGGACTGCATAAAGTTGCCAGAGACCAAGGTGAAGCAAAGTGCGATCACATGGAGACAATATTCCAAGAAGACATGGGCATACTTCCTAAGGTTTGCGTGTGGACAACCAGAGGCACAGGCCTATACTGCCTGAGAAATTTCGGTTTTTATACAGTGCTCAGGTAGTTTGAATATGAAGAACAATATACGCAACTGATCTGCCAATTTCAGCCTCACGCCAAACTTCTTACCGGAAGTTCCACAGATCAACTACTAATAATCTAGCGGCACCCACAAAAAGTCTGCTAATGGGTAACAGCGCTGCCGATAACAAAGAACACAAGAGGTTCTTTTTTCAGCGAAAGCCACAGGGTTTATTTCTCACATACTGAACTCCCAAGTAGGGGCCTCGTTTAAACAAAATTCAATTAGACGGAGCATTAGGAAAGGGAGAAATAGCCTGAAGTGTTAAACCAACAGATGATGCCGAACCTAGGACGAGAAGAGCCTAACAGAAATCCACTTTGAACATAAAACGCAACAAAGAACGACTAGCCGCCAAGTGGAGAAACGGGTAGCCGTGAATTGAGTGACTAGTTGTCTGCAGTAGGGTTGTAGTTGTACGGAGGATGTAACGCTTTTCTGGTATTTTTGGCAGGACAGCCATAGTAAGGTTGTCAAGCCTCATAGATTGGGTCAATGGATTTCTTCCTGGCCACAGTGGAAATGACCTGAGCCTCAAAGTAGGCCCGCAATTATCCTACACCGTCTGGTAAGTGATGAATCCACTCGACTATAACTACGTGAGGTGGACCGCACTTGCACTTGATGCATAACTCACGCGCGACTCACTTTTGTAACCAATCGGTCGGCCAGACTTGGTTTTTAGAGGTGTGTAAAGCACGGGGCCACAAGTGCGAGACTTCGTGGTCGGTTCAAACATGCCAATCATGCTATAGGACGTAAATAACAGAGTTGAATAGCCGCACTATTCACAAAATACAAGTAACCTGCCTGTGAGAAAAACATAGTGTGTTTCGCGGGGGTCCGAGCTGACTAACACAAGAACATGAAGTATGAAGTAACTGACTGAACTAGTGTGGGGTTACACATTGTTTAGGCACGATCTAATCGCACTGCTAATGGCCGAATAGTAGTTTGTGTAAACTCGTAACTGAAAAGTCACTCGCTTGATTCGCTTAAATGAGAATAAAGTATCCATAAAGTGTCCTCATGAATTACCTGCAGTTGCACAACCTACCGTGGCATTTTCTCATTCAAATCCAAAACCAAATATATAGGGTTTCTCGTTGCTGAAGGAGTTGTACGTATCAGTAAACGTTATTCCAGACTGTAGCAAATGGAAGAAAAGAACTGACGCGTAACCATGCAGACAGTTCTCTGGCCATGAAGCTCCACATTTAGATTGCACACCTGGTTGCCACTAGATCTTCCTTCTATTACTGGAATAAGGTGAAGTTTTCCGTAAATAATTACACAGAGGAAAACGCACAACAGACGGGAGGAATATATGACTGGGTTTAATATAAAAAATGCCACAGATTATTTCTGACCCCTTTTTCAGTTGTAAACGGTGAATTATTGGGCTATCGTGTTTTTTTCCGGATGACATTCGAACGTCCTTTCTTAGTGTTCAGGCTAGCCATACTATAGAAAACAGATTTATTGTGCGTTGTAGCTCGAAGAATGCTCCAAGGACACTCCCCGTGCAGTTAACTATTTTCCCGCCCCCTTGAGTCCTCGTAAGGCAACCCAATTGTTGTTAGGAAATATTGAGTTGCTTCGAGATAACGTACTCTTGTAATCCTGTACATGTCCATTGCTATCAGGTCAACTGTCGAAAGAATTATACCAGCAGAAAACCTGGAGATGTGACTTATGCAGTCCGTCCACTGTGTTCGATAAAGAGCCGTCGACTCACAAAAATTCGTCAAGAGCTTGGGTCAACACAGAAACCTGAGACGTTTCACATAGGTGGAACCTCACCCGAAACAAGTAAGTGGTAGTGAGAAATGATTCTACGGTACTCAACCAGAATGCATGCCGCTTATCTCTTCATGAATCCCATCTTTTTACCTTGGATGGTATCTTTCGGACTTTAAACCAGAATACGTAACAATATCGAGAGCAGACTGACGGAGTTTATCAGTCGCGATCATTATTTCTCACTTGAGTTTACTTCCACCATCAGAGCAACACAGCAGGACTGTTGACTCCTCCTTGTTATTCCAAAAGAACTTCAATCGTTCTAAGAAGTGCCAAGTGTTGAATCCGTAGGCAAAAAGAAATCGTCTGCGTTTCTTTTACCAGTGATGCAATGAGGGGAATAGCTGAAGGCTCTTGAAAGAATAGCATCGAACTCAGCAAGGTGATGACAAGCATTATGATTATAACTCTCATTTTCAGTGCTAGGTGGGACCTGTGAGTAAGTGGCTAGTGTTGCCGTCAGCCAGGAATAACCGAGGCTGAAAAGAAAGGACGAAGAAGGCAAAATTGGGTAAACGTGAGAGTTGTGAAGTGGAGGTATAAGAGTGAAACTGAGGGACAGAGCTCCCTAGGATAGGCATACTAGTTACTGGGCAGACATTTCCCACCGACCGTGACAGGTTGCCACACTGGAAAGTGCCCCAACTATGGAGGACTGCTACATCCTGATCCGCTTCTAACTTTGCAGTCAGCACTTGTCAGTTTTGCCAAGTAACCCGGTCAAGGCTTCCATGGATTGTAACCTATCCACCGACAATCCATTGCCTCTCTCTCGGTTGAGGCTTTGTGAACAAATTGCTGTGTGGCTTTCACTTTCTCGATATTCGAACAACATAACCTAGCGTGCAGTTTTATATCATCTGTTCGTGCAGTATTTGGCCTTTTTATTACTGCATTTGTTATTTAGTTAGGCCTGTACTGTAGTTAGCGATTACAAGTTCTTTGGCATCAAACATAATTTATGAATCTATTTGTGATTGTCTCATCCATATAGCAGTTAGGTCCTGATCTACCAGACGATAATTTTTCCTCGGTGGTTTGGCTTAACGATAGAGCGGCTGGCAATTAGCTGAACTGTCCCTACACTTAATCGGCATGCTTCCATAGGAGGTTACCCACCCTGTCTAACGCACGCCCGAGCGGCTTGACATAATTGGCTGGCGCCCGTATCCGGACTTGACTATCGCATTAAACTATACCTAAGGAACCTCGCGGAAGAAGGGAAATACTACACGTTGTTTGCGACCAGTCAAACATTCAACCGTCTAAACACTATCTGCCTTCAGGACATAATACATATGCAGCTGTTCTAGCAACCCGAAGTGCTCAGCATGTGAAGGCATGCGTGAAGACCAATAAGTGGCTGAGATCTCGAGGATCTGCTTCGCAGTATCAGCCACCTGGTAACGCCAGGCAGCTAAAACAGGTCTGGTAAACTTAATGTGGCTACTGACGTTTCACCAAGGAATCATTGTATATTCGCTGATGGCCAACGATTTCGGGACAAGGTACACAACCAGGACCATAGCCGCTACAAAACTAGCTCTTACGTTTCCAGGTCCAACCACTTATAGGATATTTCGAGTATTGATAAGCTCTCTCCTACTCGGTGTCCACGCCGGATTGTGCCGCCTCTCCACACGATGTACAGTTTCTGATTTCATGAGACCGGTGTTGCTGGCTTAGGTGGGTGCCCAGATATCAATTAGCCATACAGAGCGGAATTCCGTTTTGTTCCACTCGACAAGCATCTCACTCAAAACGGACGATTGTGCAGAACCGTAGCATACAGTATACACACTTATTCTGACCTCATTGGCTGATTGTTCATTGTCACCGGACGTGTTCCAAGTCAAGCGCTATGTTGCAACAGCTGCTGATAAAACCCTTGTCCATCTAGAATATGCAGGCGATATCGTGCACCTCTTCGAAGGAAAGGCACATGTGCTTTTGGATTAGCTGACCGAATTGACTGCGTCCACTGGTATGTTTTACGACCACAACGTGCTCTTGGACACAGGTTCACTTGTCACGCCTCTTACAATCCAAGGAGTCCCTCGAGTGTTCGGACCGCTTGACGTAGCTTGGAAAGGGCATTGACTCTTGCTGTAGTGTGACAGATAAAGTCAGTGCACGAATTCCGAACGCTCGGGTTGCGATTTCTAATTTGAATTATTCATGATTGCACAGCAGCCTGAGTCTCAAGAGATATGTATGCCAGGCTACACTATGGGTTGTTCTGCCCTATGGCTGCCAGACGTCGTAGGCTTTTCGAGCAACGGAACTGAAACGTTTTCAGGTCATTGATACCCGTTTTCTCAGAAGTACAGCTAGTATAGACCGGTGCAGACAAATCCCCACCGAGACACTGAGAAAAAGTGCTTGTTGTTCAACAGGGACTTCAATCAGGGAGTGGGTCCCACAGTGGTCAGTCCAGTGTTCAGGTCATCTATTGTGCACGCCGAATCGCTTGCCGAAAATAATACTAATCTCCGTGTCCAACCCTTGATCTGACGGAGAGGTATGAAACAGCCCGCGGTATTGTCGGTGTGACCATCTTTCCAGGATAGGGGCTCCGCTTTTCCCCGAAGCGCTACTGTTGAGAGTTTCTTCCTAGCCTGTCTGGGTATTTAGGCACCTCAGAACGATTGCGCTAGGCTAGGATCAAGTCCCATGCGGATACACTTTCATACTTTTCTACACATTAAGGTTCTCAAGAATATTAGTCTGCTGAACATCAGTGTTGAACGATAACAATGTGCTGTCGATCGTGATGATCATGAAGTCGAGTCTCACATCACGCTCGTTTTGACGCAATTATTCGTGTGAATCCACACCAAAGGGAAGCACTGGACTCGGGTTTCGCTCTTGTTAGAGCTCATCAGCAGTGCATATCCAATGGCCGTACCGGGGTTTGAACTCCGGACACCTGACATGCGAGGCGAACGTGTTACCACTATTCCACCAGCGCACGTTGGACGCATCTGAATTCTCACATCTGAACGGGTGAACGTGTTCTCACTTGAGCGATGTGATTAGTATGCCCGACACATCATCGATACGACGACCCAGTAACTGTCCTGGTTGTGACGATCGATTGGCCCGCTTGTCAGGACTTCCCAGTCAGGTAGCGCGTCTGAACGGGCAAACGTGTTCGCACTTGAACGATGTGATTAGTATGCCCGACACATCATCTATACGATGACCCAGTAACTGTCCTGGTTGTGACGATCGATTGGCCCGCTTGTCAGGACTTCCCAGTCAGGTAGCGCCACAGACGCTTGTAACCCGCTGGACAACTTTGTTGATGCATGTGATGGTTTTTGCGGGAGGTTTATTGTTCAGTCTCACATCGCTCTCGTTTTGAACAGTCGTCCTCCTGTCCTGGCGCAATTATTCATGTGAATCCATGAAGTCATAATTAGAGTACAAACCCACCTGTGACGTAAGAAGCGTACGGTGTTAGAGACAGTAACCCGACTTTTCTGTTCGTGCAACTAATCGAAATTGATTTGAGGAAGACAACGAAAAATAAATAGATAAATAGGTTAATCAGTTTGGATATTGCTTCCCAATTTCATTAAACGATAACTGATGTAATAGTTCAGTAACTGCACGCTTACGACTGACTTCAACAGTTCTGTTGCAATGTAACCGCGAATAACTGCAACTGGCGACAACAGATAACAACAAAAGAGACGATGCGGCGGCGGCTAACAGATCGACCATGTACAAGCGGAACGCAGTCCACTAGGATGAAGCTTTGCTCATTCGACTGGGTCGGATTACACTTGCTGTTCTACTAACCTCGCTGAATAGGCTTCTAGAATTGTGATTTGTTTTTTACTATCCATAGGTGGGGTTTTTACTTCACTTAGCTAGTTGCATTAGGACGATCGTTCATTGAAACCGTGATACAATCTCAACTTTCTTGTCTCATCTCAGAATCATCGGAAGACAACGTTCAGGAGGAAACAAATGAAGAACAATCAAACATTGTGCAACCAAACCCTGTGATTAATCTACATCTGCGTAGCCGGTTGACCTCTAGTTCATCCGGATCTGCTTTTCAGCCAATTATCAATTGCAAACCAACATAAGAGTACGCATCACCATTTTTCCGGCCGAATTCTATGTGAAACTTATAGCTGTGAATAATATATTGCTGACCATTACGCACCATTATCGACTGGCACATCTGCGTGAACTTGGAACGAATGGACAGCAGTAAAACTTAATCAACAGAGTCTAGAGGAGATCCTATAATCGCAAGAAAATGGAACACAGTTGAAGCTGGGGTACGTCATACTGACCAGAAGTGTACAACATATAACTGATGAGCGGTCCATTCGGCCACATGTAAATAACAAGATGTCCTGTCTAAGGCGATTCATTCAAAGGCATTCTGACAACAAAGTACTAAATGGGCCTATGGGAATAGGAACAGACACACTAATGCGCAACTGTTGAGCATCAGGGAACTTTTGAAGGCATTACATGATTGCATGGGAAAATATCCTCCCATTTCCAGATGTCCCGACAAATTGTTACAAATGTATTTGCGATGCACTCTGATAAACTCATAAATGAGGCCCCACCGAAGTAAGATAAGGATTCCCTTACGCATTTCGCACCACACTGAAAGCCCACCTTTCTGACCAGAAAAACACCATAAACGAGAGATTTAACTGGGTCCCAAAGCCTCCCATCAAAACCAAACTGGTACGCAGATGAGTGCATAAGTCACCAGATAAGTTCCCCCCTAGTGTTCACCTCAGGCATTTTTCACCCACCTGAAAGCCCATATTTATGACCTATAGGACTTTTTCGGTCGATCATGGGCCCTTCCTGTTAGCTGCCAGGTCAAAAGCGGAATGTGTTAATCTTACTGGATTTGTACCAACTTTGCTAGTAGCCCAGCGACTAGTATTGTAGCAGGAAGCCATTCAATTGGATAAACGCTCAGTTACACATATGTCCCCGATTTTGGATGCGATCGATCATCTAATGTCCGGTTTAGAGGAGTGAGGAGACTTACGATAAACCGTCAACTGGGCACATTTTCTTGATGTACGGAGACCTTGGTAATTGAAATTGCTGGGGTGTTATTGCGTGTTTACTTTCCGTTCCTAGACCGACCGATTAGTCTCAGATTTAGATAACCGTTTGCGCGGCTTTTACTGTTGAACCTCATAGATTGGCGGCGAGATATTCGTCGGTTCGTCGCTATGGTCTCTGCATTGCCCTTTGTTTTCTAGGAAATGATAACCTGCTGGCTCGTTTGGCCTTCATACCGAGAAGGTCATCCGGTAGCTCGTCCTCGTTTTTTCCGTGGTTCAGTCACATGGTTCTATTTCCCATGGTGGAATTTCAGGGTTTGGTAATTGCATCAGCCTGGTGCAAGAAAAACACCACGAGTATTAGCCCCTGACTGTCTACACATTTGTCCTAAGGTATTTTCTTGTATTCGAAGACCCATCCTGGTAGTTTATTTTAAAGAGTGTTTACATCATGAATGATGAACTGTGAAATTTACGTGAAAGAAAATCGTAAGAAATCACTGTTCCCATTAAACAAATTCGAGGATTTCGGGTAACCTTACCGAGTTGTGAGACCTTCCATCCCAAGCGAAAGCGTGGGATCTTACCAGGTATCCACCGTCTGTTTGCGCCATCAAGTACTCCAGGCGTTGCTTTTAGGTAATGGTATATTAAATAATTCTATTTTTATGCGAATCCTTCGTTGCTGCGTCTGCTTATGATGAAGTTTCGGCAATTCGCCAAGTAATCCCTCTCTATAGTGATTTTTAAGGATCAAATCAAGCACGACTGTTGTTTTATTTCCACATGAGTTCCGTTCCAGTTATTTCTGGGTTACGGCGTGCCATACGTCCCGTAAGAATGCATGATCTCGGTATGTGTGATGCTCTAAATTGGCCTGCACAAAGTGATCAGCCAAAATCCATGTCACTTATACTCGCTTTATCTTCCCTTATCCGTGTGTTTGACCACCTGTTGGTTTCAAAGCAATGGCAAACTTGGATGAGGTCACTGAAAATAATGTTCTTTATTCTCACTGCTGGTTTGGTTTAAAGTGGCTAACGTCATTCGAAGTGCAACATGTTTTCAAAAGAATCCCACAAAACCGTAGGTTGTTAAAAAAAGGAAGAATATGGAATCAAAACATTCTAATTGGGACGCAACGAAGGTTCACGCTCTAAAGCTGTACAGTTTATCTGACCGGAGACAAGTAAGTCAAGCAGTTCTAGAAAACGATGCGCGAGCACTGAAATTCCGAAAAGAAGAAACCACACTGGTTGCGATGGGTCTCATGTTGCGAGTCTCGTCGACAGAGTGGTAAAGCAGGCAAGTTCATTGTACTTCTTAAACTAACACAAATAATACTACGGCATCTGCAAGCAGGTCATTGAGTGCTATGTGTACCGAACACACACGCAGTTGAACAAATATAGCTCGGTTGTTTCACAGCCGTTTCTCATACGTTGACATACCCCTGGCTGCCGCATAGGCAAGCAGAGCATGTACAGCCTGTTTCGTTTCCAAATAGCGACGAGCATCTTCGAGCCAGTCTGAAGCCACAACACGAGCCTGACCTCGAAGCTGACCAAGAAGACGCACGGCTAGTTCAATTCCATCATCCGAGTCGTCGCCTCCAATCTGCTCATCGTCACCAATGTTCTGTTCCTTCGCAGTGGTCAAAGCAGCCTTGGCACTGCGAAGCAAAGAAAATGTGTCCAGTTCTGGAGGGTTGACATCGTCAGCCAGGTCAGACTCACCGGTCAACTGCGGGATGGACGGTGATTTGAACCACGTACGTAGGTATTTATTTGTGAATATGTCCAGTGTGAGCACGGACTGCAGCCAAGACAACATGTAAGTGTACAAGGAGCCGCTAGTTTCGTCAACCAAAGCAACGCGTCTGCATACCCGGTATACCTGTACGAGGTAGGCGTAGGTAAGAAGGAAAAATAGCATTACACGGAAGACGGCAAAACAAAATATCGCAATTTAACACGAACAAAATACGACGTCATCTGATATGTTTAGAGCTTCCACAAGGCTGACAGAGTAACGAACGCTCAGCCGGACACAGCAGTGTTGACAATGTACCACATGTCACACTGGATTTATGGTGAGTGGTCGATCCGTAAACACTGACCTCAGACTGTGAAGTGTGAAAAGAATTGTGTTTTGCTGGGCTTTGTGGAGGGATTATACCAACGTAAATAAACTGACGTAGTGAGATTATGCAAATATTTCTGGTTAGTTGAAATGACGATGAGAGTGGCCAAGGCACCCAAACAAAAACAAACCTTTTCAAAACGTTCCTTCAGCCCACGCTCGATCCATAAACCTTGCTTCGAAACCTCTTGGGGGATTTGCTCAAGGATAGCCAGGGCAAACGGATGGCTTCCGGTAGATGCGGCCTCTCTGATCGCTTCTACATAGTCAGAAAGGGGGCCTGTCGTAGTCGAACCACTAAGGCCAGTTCCAACAGTCGGGACGCTAGAAGAAAGATTGCTTGCAAGCGCCTCACACGCGATCCACAATGCCTGAGTTTCCTTCGCAATGCGATCTAGTTCAGCGCGACCTGAGTTCGAGATATAAAGAAATGAAAAGTCATCGGAAAAAAATATGATGAGAGGTACGGAAAATATATTACAGGGTCGTTGTAATTCACGCAGTTAGAGAGTCTAAGGATTACCAATCGCTCTCTCTCTCTCTCTCTCTCTCTGAACGATACGTCGAAATTTGACGTGAACAAACAACAATCTATGCCGCCTGAAGCATCCGAAAAACCCAAATAACCCAAAACAAAAACAAGCAAACGGTGTCAAACTACATCTAACTTCACAGCATGCACGACCGAACACTACTTAATTCGTGTGTTTGCTAGTGCATTTCAGTGATGGACGCAGCAAAAGTAAAATCGATAAACACCGGAATTAACAACTGACCCGGCCTACTAGGAACGAAATGAACAAGAAGCAACAGTACAACAGTTTCGGCTAAAAATTATTGCCTCGAATGGCAGGGCCGAAGACCTCATTAAAGATATTCGAGGATTTCGGGTAACCTTACCGAGTTGAAAATAATCAACCGAGTTGTGAGATCTTCCATCCCAAGCGAAATCGTGGGATCCTACCAGGCATCAATCAAATACTCCAGGCGTTGCTTTTAGGTAATGGTATACTGAATGATTCTATTTTGATGCGAATCCTTTGTTGCTGTGTCCGCTTCTGATGAGGTTTCGGTAATTCACCAAGCAGTCCCTCTATAGTGGTTTTAAAGGATCAAATCAAGCACGATTGTTGTTTTATTTCCAGTTATTTCTGGACAACGGCGTGTCATAAGTCCTCCTCCATTAATAGGAGGACGCCAACAAAATGGGAATCTCCTTGTACATCACTATACAACAAGGTTTGGCCTGAAACCATGACGTGTTTCACGCGCCAGTCGAAATTCCCCAACTTCGAAGAATCCCGACCATTGCGTTTGAAGCCTAAAGTGGTGAATGATATTCAACCAATCCTCTTGTCACCTTACGGCTCCTCCTCACCAGTTAGCTAGTCCCATGATGTGAACATACCCACAAAAATACTATGTATAGTGCCTTATACTTTGAGTATCCTGATGGTCGATAAAAGCATACACATAAGTTCTAACAATGTTAGTGTTGTGACTGGCTGAACGGTTGCGCAACTCCCTGTCGGTCAAGCAGATAAGAATGTCGGAAGAAAATTTTGTTCTTAAGGATACCTCAAATACATTTGACTTTTCATCTCCCTCACTCGCCATTCTAAAGAAGTATATGATGCTCATTTCAAACACTTTTATTACCATATAGCACGAAGCAATCTCAGTCTCGGAGAACTACAGTTTCTGTGATTCTTTTGTAGGCTTTTCATAAGCTGCCATGTTAATCCTTGAGATTTCTTAAGTGTATGTTCCTGTACCCATTTTTACCATTGAAATTGCAATCAAATTCCCAACTTTTCGCCACAATAACGACATGGTACGACCTAAGAGCAGCGAGGAACGTCGAGAAACTGCTGAATCTGGTGGGAGGGGGAGTAGCACCTAGAACAAGCAACCACTGCCAATCGGAAAGCAAAATGCACACGAAGCAGTAGGGAAGACCATGCCCAAAACAAAGGCAGCGATCGAGATTTGTCCCGATAACACCTTATCCTCACCCCATACGAGAGTGACTACGCAGGCAATACTGCAGCACTATTACGGTTGAAGATGTATGCAGACGGGTGGTCTAACATTATATTGGATAAGCATTGGCAATAGTTGAGAGTTGATGGATAGTTAATGATGATTGGTGGGCGAGATGGACCAAGTTGTTAGAGCATGAATTTACTGACCGGAAGGTCCGTGGTTCGAACCCGACCTCTGCATCCCAGCCCTCGTGCCTCCTTCGTGTGGCATGGCAGCTAGGCACCAAAAGGGTGTTACAGCTGAACGATTATTATTTATTATTAATGGTGATTGTTAGAGAACGGTGGGTGGAATACGAACCACCCGAAGAAGGAAACAATAAACCTGTTTCGCCCAAAACATCACAGTAAGCGTGTGTCAATCTCGGTCACTTATTGGTGAGGAAATCTAACGGCAGCCAGCCGTTGAATAGAATACATACCACCATCACACGAACGATCAGTCTGTCACCTGGCCATAAAGGCTTGAAAAGAAATGTAACAATTTCACCTACAAGACGGAAATTCGGTTTTGGCAAAACATGGCAAATGAGTTATCATTATAATTCATAAAAATCGACTGCGGATAAATTCCACCTTTAGCTTCGAAACAAAAGTTGCGGTACGGTGAGTGAACCACACACGAGCTGATACGGAAAGGACCTTAGGCATAGACTTCAATGTTGGGAAATATAGGCATTTTCAGATAAGAGGCACAAGACCTACCGAACTGTCATCTACACCTGAGGGAATGATGAGATTCTCCCTAGTTCTGTTCAGACAGTTGCCTGTCACTGAATGCACTTTTCGCTCTACCATTAGTATGTGTTAAAAACGGATTTCATCCTCAAGTGAAGAGAAAACTACCATGTAGTCCTGGACCTTACATCATCAAAGGCATCAAAGGCAACCTTGTCACATTGAATGTGTAATTACACAATAATGTGTTTAGGATATACCGAAGTGGGTTCTCTAGGTACATTATTTGGTTCCACGTATCAGCAGTCTAATGGACTGACGCATCTTCATTCGAGGTTTCAAAGTACCAGATATCTCTAATACTGATTACAACAAGCAGGTATTCGAATTAAGAGAAAAATAGCCCACCAGCAGCACATCTAGAAAAAAGCTCACCATCAACCACATCTTCAATGGCTTCCATGCGTTTAGTCCACCCTGATAAGGCAGCTGTGAAGGCAACCTTCTCTTGTGTAAGTGCCTCTCGCAGACGGAAGGTGAACTGGTGCTCCATTTCGTCTTGCTTCAAACGCAGCATTTGTGACAAGTGGTCGCTGTATTGGACACGGGCCTTGCGAAGTTCCTGTTCAATGGCTTCCCGTAGCTCCAATTCCTTTATATATACACAGAAAGGTAAGTTGCAAATTTGTTTTGAGCGGCATAAAATAAAAGTCATGCAGAACAAGCCAAGAGGTTTTAACCGTTTTGACAGTATTTAGGCGAAGAAGAGAAAGGTTGGAAATTAGAAAATGAGCCGTCTGCGAAGCGTTCAGAAAAGCCCAAGGCAAAAACGGTTCCGATGTTTTGGAAATGCCGGGTTCAACTTGACATCCCGATGGGCAGTGTGTAGGCCATCCAAATAAACACGCCGTTTCGGAATGAATAGTATATGACATTCACAAGAAAGATTGACTGATTGTTCGAACATTAAGCAATGTGAAAACACACTTAACGAAATCCCTACAACCAAGAAGAGACAGAGAATAAGCAATTGGGGACCAGAAACATCGATTAACCGATTAATCATAATGACTTGCCCAATTGAATCGCTGCAACTTGAATTCATTTCGCTCCTGTTCCAGTTCTCGCTTCAAGTAGTCAGCGATCAACTGCTCGTCTACCCGTCGTTGGGATTCGAGAGCAGAAACCAAGCGGGCTTTTTCCTTCTCCTCTACTTCGGCCAATATTGCCTTCAGCTTACCGATTTGATTATGAGCAACCACAATCAGTGAGTTCAACTCACCGATACTAAGGGATGAGCCGTCTGCAAACGAGAGAATAGGCGCAAAGAACGGAAATTCCAGACGGTATACTGGTAACTCAACGACCAGCGAAAAATAAACACACGCCTGAAGAAACGAACCAGCGTGAAAACCGTGAGCAACAAACGGTCAGACCACCATGTTTGAATACCAGTTTTAATAAAGAGTGTGGATAAATTGGAGGAGGCTTTGAGCGGTGACGTGCCTTGGATGACTATTTGCAGCCTTTGGTGGTCATCCGGATTCATCTTTATTGGTGGGTAGTTTGGGGAATTTCTTTAATTTGTTCACAGTGATCTCATCGGAATAATCACAAACCCGCCAAGATAGTCTCTACACAAGCGCAACTCAATTATCCTATCTGAAAGGCATCAACATCAATATGTATCGAATTCAAACGACAACTTTATAACGATCCGCTATATTCGGAGTCTAAACGCGTCTGTCAATCACCCACAATCGAACAGGCTTCTGGAGTTATCCAAGCCGGACCCACCAACTACATACATAGTGAGGCATTGAACCAGACTCAGAAGTCTATTAAACGACGCTAGCACCTAAATCAACAGAAGTTAACCTTGCTTTGCCTCAAAGATGGTTCGGCTAAAGTTGTGAAACAAAATAGATTGACAGATGAACCACTACATAATTGTCTTCCTACATCAGCACAGGTATTCTTGACGATAGCCCTTTTACAATTAATCAGCCAATGAGTAACGGAGTTTGTCGGATTCGCAAGTTGAAAGTTGTAGTTGTTAACATTCATTGTTTCGGACTAATGCGACCAACCTTTTGATGCCTTATCCAAGTCAGTATTGTCGTGGATACTGGTCAAATCCTTTAGTAACGTTTCGTGAGTCTTTGATGCCAGATCCCTGTAGCGCATTAACATGCTAAGTTCGTTTTGCAATTTCCGAACCTGCAAATAAAACCAGAACAAGCGGAGGGAATGCGTAAATCGATTAGAAGTTTACGTAGGCCCAATGAAACGTAGTAAAGAATGTTGGGAACTGAGGACGCTTTCTGTCGTTCACAGTACATATCGATGGATGAAACTGATAGCCAGCGCAAAACACAAGGCGAACAATCGGAACCGCAGTGGAACAGAGCAGACGTGATTGCACCACATATGTACATTCTACAGATAGACAGATCAAAATGGGGGACGTGTGGGTGGATGTTTCCGACGTAACTCAGAGTAGCACTAAAGAGTGCAACTCCAAAATCTTGGGAAACCATTAGCACCAGGTTTTGAGAAATAACACACAGATAGAACAGGAAGCCATAAGTCATTCCAGTTTTCGGTTCAATTCCCAACTTCTTGGTACATATGTTTAAGCCTGATTCGCCTGAAAGTGCTTCCAAACTCAAGATTCTCACATAATTTGAAACAGCTGAACTCTTTCAAATGAACGAAAAAAGGATATGTCTAGAGTGAGTGATTCAGGCAGTTCTAGCAGTACATGTACGACAAAAGACGCACCTCAAGTATTGAGCCATCCAGATCGTAACGCAGCTTCCCATACGATTTTATCCCTTGGGGGAATAGATCAGAGTCAAGAAAGCTTTCCGACTGTTCCAGTTGGTGAAGTGATTCTTTCAAAGCATTCAAATGTTGTCTGTACAGTACGTGAAATGAACAAAGACCATGAGGATAGTTCAAACAGCGAGCTCTAGTAAAACACAACAGGGCTGACCGATATCGCTGGTCATGAAAATTATGATTGCATCAAAAACTCTGCGAATGGGTTAAAAGATTTTGAGCAGCCCAGATGAACACGTCCAGCTTTAATATTACCTCATACGCATGCCATATACATCCAATCAAGGACCATTTCCACCCCAAACTTGGCTAAGCAAACAATAAAAGGTGAGGTAAACGACCTACCAATCCAAGTTAGGAACAATGGACCCCAAACAACAGGTGAGGCTGTTCAAACTAATGATCAAGTGCGTTCAACTGACTGCAAATTATCACTCCATTTATTTCAGTATCCACAACACGACGCAACTAGCACGTGTGTGACGCTGGCAAGGCAATTTATTTTGTACTTGGTGTTCTGAGCACGGCTACCAGAGTTCACAAGCGACGGCCATTCTGCTGCTAGTTGAGTTCAAGGAACGGCAGTTCCTGTCACAGTACCCATTCAGATGGAATGTTAACCACTTAACTGATATGGTCGCCGAAAGAGAGTCAAGTTTGTTTATGATTTCTACGGATCGGAGTGCTGAAACCTCAGGCAGACCAATTACATGTGGGGAGTGGAAAACGCGACCCGAAACAAAGCTGATTGAAATTGCTTAGTGTATGTTCGGAGCCTACCACATACTTGTCCTCAGAGTGGCTAAGTTCAGATACCGATTGGTAAATGAGATGAGTGCCGATTACGAATTCACAAGAGTAAAAATGGACTGTGATGAAGGATACACACAAGTTTGTGCTGAATTCAGGCATTTGTAAACATACGGGAGTGTAGGAAACCCCAAAAAGAAACTACGAAGGGTAGACAGAATGTGCTAACGATGGCTAACGGACTCACTTGGCCTCCTGAACAGCTTCACCTGCCCTGGCCTCCGCCTTATCCTTCAGAGCTGCAAGCCGCGACACATGCTCCCACTTTTTCTCTTTTGAGCGGCTCTATTAAAGGCAAACGAAAAAGATCGAGGTGACTTGGTGAAAACAACTGCACACAAACGACATGTAAAGATGACCAGGCAATTAGAGATAACAATAAAAAACGCTTGGTGCATAAATACCAGATGTAAATGGTTGTCAGATGGTCGTGAGAGTTCCTACTGGTTGCAGATGTTAAGGCGTCGACATGAAAACATGAGGATCTTTGAAAATTATCGGTTCAGAACTGGTTCTTCGTTTGTGTGAGAGTGAAGGACGTTACTACGGTTCAAGGGTAGTTGCACCTGACTGCAGAAACTTCCGGAAGTACGGGTGTAGGGGGGGACAGCAATTCATTCAACCTGGTCAACACGTGTGTTGGGTAGTGAACGAAAAATGGGGAAACTTCGTCAGCTATTTTGAGTGAAACGATAAAGGTGCCGAATCCAGTGAGCTCGAAAACTGATTATACCCAATCTTCACAAGATCAGAGTACCAAAAAATTGGTCTTATTCTCCATCCGCCAACATTGTGTAACGAATCAGAATCAACCAAGAAATGTCACACATGGATTTGAAAAACGAACATCAAAAAGTACATTTAGAAGTGTCATCAGGATTACGGACGATGAAGCAAATAAACTAGGGTCACCAGGTGAATTCAATATTCCGGATTAGGAATAATTCGGCCAACATCGACATAGTCAAAAGCGATAGTCGCTAAAGGTACCTTTACAATACTCAGTATTCAAGCTTCTGTAAGGCGAACAAACTCGGGTCTTTCGAATTTTAGTCCACCATATCGTTCACTAGTTAGGTGAAAGGTCACTTTATATACTCCAAGAAACCACCACTGGAAATGGAGATAACTTCGCTTCCCACTGGATGGGATGCTATCCCTTGAGTGGGATAGCATCTTAAACCGTGACTGAAGAGATACGTTTATACGACCTTGCAAGTGAATGGCAAATATTCGGAAGAACACAAATACAATTTGCGGAAATTTCTCTTGCGATGACGTGAAGAATGAAGTTAGAATTGTATCTTATCTGGGATGCTGATTCAAGCTTGCTTACATAGGAAAAAAGATACTACATTCTTCCTCCGAAGATAATTCCTGTAAGAGGGTACTGATGGCCTAAAAGGAATGTCTAAACGTCGAGCAGTGAACTGTCTGACGAAAACGTGAATTGTATGGCTGTTATGTAGACACCAATCATCTCTGAAGGTTAGTTGCAGCTGTACGGAAGTATAAGGTAGCCTTATGGTGATAATGGTCGAGGGCGGTTATACGAATGGGTACATGAACCAGTTGATACTACACAACAAAAAACGACCTGGTTACTGCGAATTGCCTGAGATTGAATACATGACGACTTTGTTCGGAATACTTAAATAGACTTAAAGACACTGTCAACGGTGGGGAAGATTGACGGAAAATTATAGAAATCGTTTGGTTACGAGGGGACCCTAACGCCTTTGAGTGAATTAGAGCCGAAGACATATCAGTGACTTGGCTACTTATAAGTAGTACGAATTTTAAAGAGATCCAACGGGATGCATGTGCAGCAAGGTTACCCACCGAAAAGACTGTCCATACAGCGAAGACACAAAGCCCGCAGAGTTATCTGGCTTTGAAAGTCACCAATCATTTGACCCAATAATGCCATGCATCATCATGCATTGATACAATGGGCGAGAAAAACAGGCTGAAGCGTTGTGTGCATGCATCAGGTGACTAACCTTCCGGAAAAAACCCTCATCCTCCTAGAAACGTTCGAAGCAGGAGGGGAATTTATCAAAAATAGTGGTGGAAGATTCAAATCCCGAACAACGATCGATAAAAAAGGTTATGCTTGCGCATTGCGCATAAGATAAAACCAAGCATGAGATATCAATGCATGGTCAGACGCAAGCAGAGGACTGAAAAAATCTTTCCGCACAACGGTTGCGCGTTACAACTTACCTCAAAACCGTGCTCAATTCCAACTATTTCAGATTACTTGTTAGTGAAGTGTCCTGACTGTCCTAACCAGTAACACGTTATAACTATGGAATCTTACGGTGAATAAATATCGTCCAGACAGTGCACTGGAGTGAGTAATTTTCATAAATGTGGTCGATTTTGATGCCGTCGTCCGTTATATCGTGCTCGTTGGGAGTCAAAGATGAACAAGTCAAAAGGATATAGAAATCTGCAAAGCCACGAAATACGAAAGTTGGCTGAAATTACAGCTACTCCAGGGCAGAGTTTAGTGCCACCTAATTGACAATGGCACAAACTGCGTGACGGTGATCAGCAGCAATGGATGCTTGATGTGATTCGGTTCGAAAGAAAGCTGTCACGGTGAAAACGTCGATTTTAAAGTGCTGCTGTTTCGAACTTAAGATCCCTCCATCTCAGATCCGACTTTACAACTAGTAAGAAGCTGAACTCCCCGCGTGTAGTTTTTTTCAGTTACAACTACCTACTGGATGTAGTCAACTCGCATCCTTGGTATTTTTACATACGGTTCCAGAGGTTTGGATATTCACATTTTGATATTCGGTTTTCTAGATTTTGGTGCACTATTTTTAAAGGAGAGGAGTATGATGTGGTCGGCGTTGGGAACAAAATTGGTCACAAGGTCACCTTCCATCATATATATATATATATATATATATATATATATATAT